CTATGGCATCATTTAGCTTTCTCAAATCACACAAAATTACGTGTGCCTTACAGACTGATCAAATTGCTAAAACTACTGGAACATTGGTGTTTTAACTTAGAGATGATTATGCATCGAAAATAAACAAGACGGGGAAGTGCTGAGCAGCCTCTCCACTCAGAAATTGTAAGGTGGAGTTAGAACGAAGTTAGAAGACCTGCAACAGCTTTTACCAGTCCTTATCCTAGGCAAAAGAGTGTTCTAAAACCTATGACAAACTATGAGCAGGTGACAGCAACACCCCTCCTGAGCAAAGCCACATTTATAAACACAAAACACACTGCAACTTTGCAGATACTGAAAAAGAAAAAAGCCACTTTCAAGAAGTGCCCGAGTTTCATGAGCTCAGTAAAAAGGTAACTTTTCTGAGAAGAAAATAGCTGTTTTCCCTCTGTGTGAATAGAAACCCTGAACTTTCCCTAATGGTCAACAAAAGTTACTTTTCACTCAAGCCAGTTTGCTTGTTTCTATATTGAATGAGCAGACATATGTAAGGAGTAGCAAGTAGGTATCATTGACCATTGGGATACTAATAAATGGCAGAAGTCATAAAAGCTTATAAAGGAACGAAAAGAGGAAAGTTTACATTAATTTTTTCAGCCTAAAAGGGAATTTCAGATACAGAAAACAAAGACTCTCTGACATCTGTTGGAATAGGATGGAAAGAGACCTCTTACCTACCTCCAGATGGATTACGCGTAGAGCATTCCACAAGAGCAGCCTTGCATGCTGGTGCAGACAGGAGATTAGGAATGACTGTATTGTGGTGATGCAAGTCCAGCAAGCATCCTGCTCCTCCACTTTGCACTGGAATCAACACCATGCTCTTACCTGCTGCAGATGCGAAGTCTATTAACTTGATTCGTAGCATAGATAAACACAACTACTGCTTAACATCAACATCTCTGCTTTCCACAAGTTGAACTAGACCCTTAGCCTACCTACAAGAAAAGGTAAGGAAAGGAGAAGAGCTTTACAACAGCTCTGTGAGACAGTGCCCTGACCCTGCTCTTTGGTTAGGCTGGCAGCCTCCTGCCAGAGCCAAACTGCTTGCTTATCACCTCTTTCTCCAGAGATTATGAAGGCAGCAACGCTCACTTTTAATGGAGTTTCCCACATTTACCCAGGCAATAACTTCATTATTTCAGCTATCCCTTATTAGCAATTAACAGCTACTTTCAGAATGTGTAACTGTTTTCTGCAATGTCTGTATTTCCTACCCTGATTAGTTGCACCTAATTTGGCCAAGATGCTTATTAAATCACTAAGCCCTGTGAGAAGGTCTGAGTAAAGGAAGTGGATCATGAGAGAATCAGCTTTGTTTGCCAATGCAATGGTAACACATGGTATTCATAAGAGACTGTTTCTCTTCACTATTTTGCTATCGGTTTTAAATAGTTGAGTCCTAATCTCCCACTCGATCAATGTTCAAAATCAGTATGCTTTAATCATCAACCAAATGCATTTTTTAAGGGGAAGCAGGAAGTATTGTTTAATAAGGAGGCAGTAATTTTTAAACCTTTGTTTTTCTTTGGCTGACTGAAGAAAAATTACAGTTCCCACAGATGGGTATAGCATCACAACGAAGTTACACTGCAGAGATCTGCTCTTTGGGGAAAGGCCCCATGTCTAAGAGGTCGGCTGAATGCAAGATTGAGGATCTACATTATGCTCTGGATGACTGTAACCTTGATCCAGTGTAGCCAGCTTTGGACTTTACCCCTGAAGAGTCAGTAAATGCTGACTGGTGACCATAGGAATACAGGACCTCAGACACCCATGTCTAAAATGAAACTAACATTAGTAACACTAATTATGAAATATAGCCTATTTTCATGTTTCTCAAATGAATATAGCATAGCAATACTCCTAAGATATTTGAATTTCTGAGCAAATATAAAGCAGTTGAACTTTAAGAGGGAGAGTTTCAAAGGCACAAACCACACTTAACTTCCAATTATGCCTTGGAAAATGTCCCACTAATGGCTAATATAGCTGATTTATTTTCATAAACTTTAATTACTTCACACTTTTTTTTTTTTTTGCTGAACAGTATTATCAGTTCAAGAGAGCAGTTCAAACACAATGCACAAATTAAAAGAGATCTGCTCCAATGCCAGGTTTCTGTATGCAAGTTTAAATTCCTTATCAATTCTAATATTTAGACATCTAGATAAGTGTGAATATTGGCACATTAAAACATCTACATACAACAGATTTACTAGCTTATACTAAATCTGATTACTAGTATTTTAACTGGAAGAGATTTTACAATGTTATTTGGATCAAATAATTTGGGATGAAGACCACATTTTTGTTTTGGCTAGTATAAAGTCAGGAGCTTCTCATATTTTACATTTCCATTTAGTTTTACATATTACATTTAGTAATACAAGCAGTAGCAGCAGCAAAGATCTGGCTCATCATTTGGACAGCTTGCAATTCCAGTACCTGGGAAATCCAGCAGGACAGAACAGTAAGGAAAAAGTGTGCAATTTTAGTTCTCCAGGCATGCTGTGCCCTTGCACTCCAGGTGTAGGCTGAGACATCCGGTAAGCGTTCAATGTGATTTAGTGTCAGATTTCTTACAGCAGAGGTCCTATGTTTTATTTATTTTTACACATAAGAGTCTTAATTAACGTGTTTTACCTGCCCTGAGGACTTCCAGACCCTTCTGGAAAGAGCCTCCCGGCAGGCAAGCCTATCCGCTCTGCGCATGGAGGAAATCAGGTGCCGTCTGCTAAAAAGCAAGAAAACATTGCCCTCTAGTGCTGAAAGAAAGCAGAGGCTGCAGCGTCCGAGAGGGGCTTTTAATTCTTGTTTCCAAGACAGCTGCCTGTCTCATGCTAACAAAACTAAGGCTTGGTGCAATTAGCTGTTTTGTGGGCACACTGCCCACCTTTCTCACAGAGGGCAACCCTCCTGATCCAATAAACCCTCAGAGTCGTGCTGAGTGACTTGTCAATGTCACCAAAACTCACAGAGGATGTTTCACTTGATTCCGTTTTATCTTTTGATAAAATCTTAATTGGAGTTTCAATACGGAGCAAGATTGCAGCAAGCAGACAGAACTGCAGAACAAGGGAAGCAGCAAAGGGGGGCAAATATTCTTACAGTTATCAGGGTGATTTTCATTTCCTAGTGATAGCTGTGATTTCTTTTTATTTCTTCTCGATACACGAGACATTACTAAATTCAGAACATTTTTCTCATTTCTGTTCACTTCTGTCCATGGATAAACTACCCACTTTGACCACCTTTTGGCCAGCGTGTGACACACAGTAGGGTTGTTGATGGACTAGCTCACCATACAGGCATACTAATCTCTTGGCAAGCTTCTGAGAAAGGTAAAGCAGATATAGATAGAATTCTGATCCTGGCAAAGTCACAAATAGCCTCAGCAACAGCTCCCTCTCTAAACTGTGAGAGCAGCAACAAGCCTCTCATGAGCAAGTAGACCTATTAATTCACAACTACTTCAGCATTCTGTTCCTTGCTTGACAAGCTTCCAAAAGCAGTAGAGTAATACTAGGAGAGCAGTATACAAAGCATTTCAAGAAAAAAAAAAAAACTCACTTGCATTTTCAAGATCCTGAACCAACACAATCAAGAGCTTCCTTAGAACTGTGTACCAGAGTCCTAAAATATACTGCCAGACAAATTTTTTCACTGTCTTTCTTACAAGCATTTTCCAGTTTTAGGTGTAAAGCTTAGGATGAAGGAATACTTCTCAGAATGAAATTCAAAAGTGTAATCTGAGTTAATGGAGGAGGACACAACAATTGACAAATACCTGCCTAGAAAGAGTGCTTCTTCCTTACAGCTTAAACGTCATTCATTGTTTAGAGTTGCATATTGTTCCAATAAGTAAACAATATAAATAATTCAGAAAGATGTTAATTCCTGTATCAGCCCATAGAGCAGCATAGGCTATTTATTTAGTTAACTTTAATTGCCTTGGAGTCACGTGGTTTACTCTTATCAATAGTAATTTTTCATAAATTTAGGCAGAACTACCAGGAATTGCACAAGGGCTTCAGAGCTGGCCAGGCAGCCAGGTTTAAGCACCTTGTACTTCAGCCATACAGCACAGCAGGGACAGACCATAGCCCCAGTCCTTCACCTGGAGGTGTTATTTCAGACAGTCCTTAAATGGACTGTAAAGTACTGATCACTCCAGGTACAGAATGGAAACCGGAGAGAAAAGTTCTGCAAATCTTTCATCAAAGTCCTCTCATGCCTTTCACTTCAGTTTCATTAGTTTCATAGTCCAACACAGAATTTGTTACCCCTCTCAAAATACTTCTGTAGTTTGAAACTGACATGGAACGTGGCCCAGTATTTAACAAATATTTACTTTATCCTGATTTTGTCCTGAAATCTTCAGTCATTCCCATTTGCAATAGCCATGAACCATTTTAGATAAGAAGTGTCCATAAATGAAGAGGATACTTTTCCTCAAAAAGTTATGTTCAGACTTTATGTTTATACCCTAGGAATATGGGAGAGCTGTTTAATGCAGCTTATCTTAATACATCAAAAAAACAAGTGACATGGAGTGTTCCTCAAACTGTTCATAAACTTCCCTCTTAACTCAGATTACCAGTATCAATCACCAGCTTTATCAACATGTGGTTTTAATTGCTTTATGGATTTTATTTTATTTACTCTTCTTCTGTTTCTTGTTGCAGATAATGTTAAGAGTCCTCTCCATTGATTATTGGCAGCTGCTGCATTCTGACAAAACCTCTTCCAATTTAGCTTTCTGGATCCTTTGACTTCCCACTCAAACAGCTTTATAACATCCCTGACAGCTTCATAAACGCACTGCAATGGTCACATAAACGTCTTGGAAGGGAAATCAGCACCTCCACACCTCCTTGTTCCTATGGCACTTTAGGAAGAGAGAACCAAAAGAGAGGCAAGTCCAAAAGAGCGGCAAGCTGGAAGTCCTGCAAAAGATGAATCTAATCGTGAAGCTCCGCAGAAGTTTCAGAACACTGGTCATTCTTCTGGCGACCTTCTGCTTGGCAAGTATTGTCATTTCTGCCTATTACCTCTACACTGGCTACAAGCAGGAAATGGCCCTCGTGGAAATGACTGGAGAAGCGGAATGTGGAGACCTCAAGCTTCTACCATACAGGTCTATGGAGCTGAAAACAGCTAAGCCAATTGATCCATCTAAAACTGATCCCACTGTCCTCCTGTTCGTGGAAAGCCAGTACTCCCAGCTGGGGCAAGACATCATAGCCATCCTCGAGTCCAGCAGATTTCAGTACCACATGGTCATTGCGCCAGCTAAGGGGGACATTCCCCCTCTCACAGACAATGGAAGAGGAAAATACATGATTGTTATATATGAGAATATTTTAAAGTATGTATCCATGGACTCGTGGAATAGAGAGCTTCTGGAAAAATACTGTGTGGAATACAGTGTTAGCTTAATTGGTTTTCATAAAGCCAATGAAAACAGCTCGCCCAGTACAAAACTGAAAGGATTGCCATTACATCTTTACAATAATGTGGCCCTCAAAGGCTGTGTGGTAAACTCTCAGTCTCCTCTGCTGCGCATTACCAAAGCACCAAGGGTTGAGAAAGGTCCACTACCTGGGGAAGATTGGACAGTTTTCCAGTTTAACCATTCCACCTATCAACCCGTGCTTTCAGCTGAACTGCAGACCTCCAGACAGCACCTCACAGCATTGCCAAAGGCTGCTCTGTATGCAACTGTCATCCAAGATTTGGGGCTTCATGATGGGATTCAGAGAGTCCTCTTTGGAAACAACCTGACCTTCTGGTTGCACAAACTGGTCTTTATTGATGCCATCTCTTTCCTATCGGGGAAGAAGCTCACCCTGTCCTTGGATAGGTATATTCTGGTTGACATAGATGATATCTTTGTTGGGAAGGAGGGAACAAGGATGAACATCAATGATGTGAAGGTAAGGCAAGAACTGGGGGATACCATGTATGCAAATGGTTATTTAAAAAGAGACAAAGCTTGAAAAAGCTGGCAAGCTCCATTTCTGGGTAAAGGCTGAAAGTGCACAAGGATAGCTAGAAGATACAGAAACCATAACTTAAGGTTACTTTACAAGTCTGTTTACCCACATACATAGAGATGCATTTATGTATGTGTCTATACATTGATATACAGAGATGGCTTGATACGGTAATGCATATAGCAAATGTACTGGTTGCCTAGGGCACCTGAGTAACAAAGGAGACTTTTTGTATCTGACATAAGAGAGATATTTCTTTAAACTAAATAAAAGGATGTCTGTTTCTCGAGCAGGTTTGCTGCTAAGATACCTGAATTTTTAGATAACAGCACATGTTTTACACTGCATTCATTTTTTCCCTATGCACACACATACACATGTATGTCTGTGGCATATAAAAAATACCATTTAATAGGCATTTTTTTATTTCTGAAAAGTAGATGGAACAATAGAAGATGGTTGCCTTTTTAAATCTCACATAACTATCACTACATTTAAAAAGAACAAAAAGAGAAAAAGGAAAAAAGCCTGGAAAAGTTACAGTCACATTTTGACTTAAAAGAATTAGCAAGATAATTTTCATCAGCAGACTAGCAGATCAGTATTTCAAGTTACCAGTGGCAGGATGGAAGTATAGGCTGTACTTTGCAAATGACATAACCACCTGATATGGTGAAAAGCCCACAGACTATTCTTTGAGGGCTCTTTGAAACTTATTTCATAGTCTGTAGTATCCGGGGGTACAGTTAGATTTGCTCAGAGTAATTTTCAAAGATGTGTGCAACTTGGACAGAACTCAACAGCATTGAATTTTTTGACAATTAATGTTGACAATTATTTCCTTGCAATTTTCCATGTGGGAATTGTCATATTCAGAGATTATCTGAAATTCCTAGGCATGCAACATCATATTCTTAAGCATTTACTCTAGAGGTTTTGTTCCTGTAAATAACCCAATGCTTTCATGAGCAATAAGCAAGCCTTTTGTTTTTAAACACATATTTCTATTTCATTTCTTAATTCTTATTTCCATTTCTACAACTTCTCTATTCAGCTGCCTCCTCATCCAGTACAGTAAGACAGATACCAAAACATCCAGCAAAAGCAGCAGTCTCATATACGGTTAGAACTATTTTGCACATTAGAACAGATCAGGTAATTCTATTAGCCAAACCAGGCATATGAATACTCATCAGGCTGATTCTAGCACTTGCAGTGCCTGGTATCTTGAGATGTGAGCACTGTGCACAAGCTCAATGATCAAGTGCTCTTTCCGGAAATGTATGTAAAATGCTCTGAAAAAGAGCTTGTATACAAGAGGAAATTAACTGAAAAGGCAATTGTGGAACAAGTTTTTCTGCAATAGCTTTCCGCCTGTACAATTTTGAGAGCGTCTTTTCCTGATGTGGTTTGCTCCACTAAGGAAGTCTATTATTCTACATTGGGTAAAGAGCCTCTATTATGATAAGAAGAGTGTCCACAGAGAGTCACTTGGAAATTCAAATCATACTTTTGACTGGAATAATCTCACTAGATAGAAAAAAAACCTCAAGTCACCTCCTTCATTATCCAGCAATCAACATTACTAGCTATTACTAGCCTGTGCTTGGGGGAGCAGCCACACTTCAATGCTCTTTATTATGGGAGACAGGGCAGAAAACTCCAGAACCAGGGGCTTGAGTAGGAGGTAGATGGCCGAACCATAGATGTTAAAAAGCATTCAGCAGCACTTTCACATGCTGCACACATTTATCCATCTGAAAATGGAGCAGTCCACACTGCTGAGTATCTTGAAAATAACAAGAAAAATAATCTGCTAGGATTCAGACTTTTTCTTAAATTATTTTTCTAAAAGAATGTGTGCTGAGTCTTCTTTTTATAGATTATGTTTGAGTCAAGGTATGAAGGGAAGCTTCCATTCTATTCACATTCTCCAGTGCAAAAGTAGCACCCCACTTCCATCACAAAACCACCAATAGTACCACTCATGAGATGAATCCTCTCTTCACCTCAAACAAGAAATCATTCCACAAACACGAACCATGGGGAGAAATCTTTTGCAGGCACAGGCTCAGAAACAATCTTCCCATCAAACAATCTTTTGGGACAATAAAATTTGTACCTTGCTTTTAGAAGATGTTCACACATAAATCTACTCTGCAACTTGACCATCCATTGATATTCTGTCCTTAACATCATTGGTTTCATTTCAGATCAGTTACCAGGTACAGGTTTGTTCCTCAGTGTATTTCAACAACATTTGTGACACAAATCGGTCCATTCTTATAGACTGGACATTCCCAGAATACATACACATCCAAAACAGGATGCTTGCTAATGAACGTAATAATACCAAAATCAGAGTGTACTTTGGTTAGTTTACAGAAAAGGATAATTACAGCTAGTTAGAGAACAATCTCCCAGGCTGCTTGGGGAAGAAGGCAGTTAAGAACCAGTGGGCCTTTCTTCATCCTTTAAGGCAGAGCAGCTGTTTTGCTGGAAAGGCAAAAATTGGGAAGGGAGACATTTAAGAGGCTGATGTGCAAGTGGCATCTAAGTACCATTGTGCACTTGGAAGCAGCAGCTGTGGCCAGGTGCTCTGAAAAGGCTGTGTTTTCAGGGCAAGTGAGAGGCTGTTTCTGACACACAGAGGCAGTTTGAGATTTAGGGGCAGGTTGTGCTTGTCCTAGAGGGGTATGATAGGGGTGGAAGTGTGAATGACTCCAGTACCTACAGGGATTAGCACAGGATCTGTATGTTGTTCAACAAAAATGTGGCAGAACTTGGACCACCTCCTTTCTTTCCTGAGCTGCATGTTATAGACATATTTAGCACCAAAAAAACCCCAAACACCCACCACCAAAAAAAACCCATCCAACAACCAGCCCCCACAGTCTACATGCATGATGTCATGCACCTCAAAAATAATTCCATTCTGTCCCCTGCAATGCAATTCTAAAATGCCAGATCACCAATACAAACTAAAATATTTGCTATTTATACAGTGCTTTCAAAAACAAAACGAGAACCATATAATGCAGGGCTTGTAATGAAACAGTTTCTTAGCACAGAACAATCCACTGCATTATGCCACTATGTCACTACTTCAGTTCCTTCAGTTCTTGTCATTTGTTGCTGCAAGTAGCGTAGGTTCACTTTGCAGAGGTAGACAGATTCCCTGCTAGGCTCTCCTAAGGTGCCACTCACACTCGTGTTCCTTGGGAATGCCTTCATACACGGCAGATGCCCAGGTGCATACAAGAAAACCAAATGAACAGTTACGCACCTCCCAGTTGCATGAAAAATACAGGTAAATAGCATCACTCTGTTCAGCCTCTTAGGTTTTCCCTTCTTCCAGTGACCAAACATGTAACAACTGCCAACCCAAAGGGCGCGTGAATAGAAATGAGGCTTCTGATAACAGTATTTGTATGTAACAACAAAAAGACAAGTAACACCATTCCTGTGTAATTACTTCCTACAACTCAAATGTTATTATCCTCTCACAAATCCATTGCTCAATTAGGTGCTTCAGGGATATATACAGTTATGCAAAGGGTGGCATCAGCTAGAGAAACAGAGATTAGAGAACAGAGTTAAGGGCTCTGCTTACCACAGAAGATCTCCTAGTCCTTTGTATTATAGAAGTTGTGCAAGGTCATGTCTGGCTAAGTAATTAGACAGGAACTCAGCAGAGCCACAGAAAGCTGTTTTCCCAAGCTTTGCAGGGATCTATCTTGAGCCTAGTGAGCTTCTGCAAATGAATTTCTCCCTTTCTCTCTGTCGTGGTTCAAGCCCAGCCG